GAATCATAGAATATCTTCCGTTTGTCATCAAGATTCATCCATGTTGTAGCACATGTCAGAATGTCGTAACTTTTTAAGGCCGAATAATATTCCATTGTATGTATACACCACATTTTGTGAATCCATTCATCCATTGATAGACATTTGGGTTGCTTCTACCTTTTGGTTATTGTGAATAATACTGCTGTGAACATGGGTATACTCAGATTTTGTATCTTACTGTCTAAATTTTTAGACTCTCACATAATATATGCAAACGGACTTTCTGAAAACCCTTTACAAGACAGTACACTTGGTAGAGGTGCTTATGATTTTGTTGTGGAGATCTGCTCACACTCCTGAAACCAAGACTGTAGACAATATGATTAGAATGCCCAGCAGTGCTGTCAGAGTCCACTTTTAAATTTCCTGTGATCATTTGAAAGAAGCGAAGCTCCAAAGCTCCTTCTAGAAAGGTAGTGAACACAGTCAACGACTTACAGAGCCTGGCATACCATTTGCCTTTGCAAACTGAGTCCTCTCTGCTTGGTGAAGTTGCCTCTGAGCACCTTGACTCATAAGCAGGTCTTGGCTCATATCTGTAAGCATTGCAGAGACAGTGAGAAGGACTTGGCAAAATGAATTTTATGGTTAAGAATGAAGGAGACCTGCTTCCTGTGAAGCAAGTGAGAGAGTGTATCACCAGCCAAATTATTTCTGGCCAACGTGACTGAAGAACCAAGGATCCTGTTTTCTCTCTCTCTCTTTATTGCTCTCTCTCTCTATATGTGTGTGTGTGTGTGTGTGTGTGTGTGTGTGTGTGTGAAAAATCCATGGATATTTATATATATATATATGTTAAAAATCAGGTATTTTCAAGCATCCAGGGATTCTTTAGGGAGCTACACATTTTTGTGAAAACAGACTGTTAAATGTGTGAGGAGCATCTGATAGCCCCAGCTCTTCCCCTGGACTCTAAGGAAGTAATTCTGTTCCTTCTGTTTCTGAAGTACAGCCTCAGGTTCAGGGCTGGCTGGTCCCTTCATGAGATGCCCACTCTGCTGTTGCAGACTTCTGGCCCTTCTTGGATACTCAGTGACCGGGACGGAAATATACAGGGTTAGAAGGCAGTTTGGGAAGTTGGGAAAAAGGAAGCACTGGGGTGTCAGAAGAGGATTAGAAATGATAAAAATGAGGCTGCTTATCTGTCAGCAGCTCTCCAACTTCTCCTTGATGTTCTTCCTCATGTCTTCCATTGAGTGTTCACTCCTGGCTCCTGCTGGATGCTCTTCCCAGCTTCCCCTTCCTGGACCTCACTGACTGGCAGAGCACATTAAGTTCCAAGGCCGCTATTCCAAAACAAGGTCCCAAGACTCTGTTTGTGAACCCCAGACACTTTCCCCTGGTCTTTCCAGTCCATGGGTGGTGTTCCAGGACTTGCATTGTTTTGTTCGCTGAAAGGTCAAGTCCTGTAGGGCTTCATCTGTCCAGGCTGGTGGGGCTCTGGCTGGCAAAGCAAATGCATCAGATCAGCCTGGCCATATTCAGGGAGGGCCAGGCCCATTGGCACACACTGCAGGGCTGGCATGGGCTTTGTGGGAGGCTGGCCTGAGCCACAGACGGTGGCACCAGCAGTCCTGTTTGTTCTTCAGCCCCTGGCAAAGCCTAAGCAGATTGGATTCCTGTCCTGTGGAACACAGATGCTTCCTCCAGAGCCCACCTGCCCAGGCAGTGCTCCACCTTGGAGCAGCACAGTCAGTTTGGAAAAAGGAGGATTGTCCCTGAGAGCCCCTTCTCTTCTCCATTCTTGTGGTTACTCCATTATCTCCCCTCTGTCCAAATTCATTTTCTCGCCCTTCAGTGAACACAATAACATGTTGTCCAAGTGAGGCGTAATTGCCATATAAACAAATGGCTTGATGATAATAAATATTAGAGCATTTTCAGATATTTGATTTCCTTTTATTTTCCTAGTTTCCAACAGAATTGCAAGTTAATTTTAATTTTTCTGTTGGAAAGGGTATGGGACATCTGACCAGCAGGCAGGTGGGGAAGATGCAGAGTTTGTCCAACCTAAGAACCCTTATAAATAGCACTCAAGCAGTTCTGGCAGCCGTGATGGGACGTGGAGGCCTATTTCCTGCCTCTCTTGTCCATCTTCATTTTGAAGCACTCCGGAGCATTCCACCAGCTGTTGTAAGGAGCACCTGTGTTGTCACTATCATTGAGGTTTTGGGAGAAATCATTTGGTCATGCTTTTCCATGCAGTGACTGTGCCCACAGACCCTATAAGTGCCATTGGGAACTATGTGCATGGTGATCGAATTAGAGGCCCATTTCCAGTTCTAAAGAGAAAGTTCAGTTGTGCTTTTGAGTTCTTAAGACAAAGTTATTAAAAGGCATGGCTAAGCCTGCCAAAATACTAACTGTAGAAATCGGTAAAGTTTCAGATACTAAGCAAGGAGCTGGCTGGGTGCCTCTTGCTATGCTTGGGTGAGAAATCATGATTAATAAAGGCCACAGAGACAGTGAAACCAACAGGGAGGTGGACCAGGCAAGAAAGAGAGAGATGGTCAACTACAACATCCTTCCAGAAATATAAGGCATTTAAGGTTATGGCATAGCAGGCAGTATGTTCTCTAAAACTAGGACTGGGGAGAATGATGTAGTGTTTTGCAGAGGTAGGTACTTGATATTTCTGCTTTGATTTTGTTGTTAGAAAAGAGAAGTATATGGAGCATATGAAAGTGATATACTGTAAGAGACCAAAGACAATAAAACAGTTGAGGTCCGACCAGTCTAGGGTAGGTTTTGTCCTCTTCTGGGTGTTTCTGGGACTCTTAGGCCTTTAACTTCCACCTGAGTGTATGAGACACACTCTTCTGTACTCCTTTGGCCAGCAGAAGCAGCCTGATTTTAGTACTCGTTCGGAAGGGAGGTGCAGCTAGAAGTTTGTGTTTATTAAAGCCCAAGCGACTGGAGGTAAACGCAGGTATGATCAGGAAATGTAGCTGGTTCACCTCTCCCAGTAGGCACAAGGCCAAAGTCAGCAGACTTGCAGATTGTCATGCCGGTTCTCCCACCCAGAGGTTATTTGAGTTCATCCAGCACTGCAGCTAAGCAGAATGCTGCAGTCAGGGTGACATACTGCAAACTGGAGCCATGTCCTCAAGTGCATGCCAATCAAACCAACTTTAACCTTCACTGGTTTGTGGCTGCCAACCTAGAGAGGAATTTGTTACATGGCTGAGGTCCTGTCCTACCTAAGCCAGACTCCAGTGCAAAAAAAAATCCTGTCAGATGCACCTCTCCTTCTCTGTCTCCATCTCCCTCCCTGCCACCCGTTTCCCCTTTGCTCTTTACTATTAATTGGCCTGGAGTTCCCGGGCTGAAGCAGAGTTTCCTTCTGTCCCCGTGTGTTTGCTGCTCTGGTTTGCTCTTCTTCCAGGGCCCCTTAGTAAAAGAAGAGCTGCTGACAGGGTAGTGTGGAGGTGGGGAAGTGACCACCACGCTGGGAGGGATGTAGGTTATAGGTCACCAGTGATGTAGGTTGCTGTCACCAGGACCCTCAAATCAGCTGTGACCAGAGCCTGCAATGACAATGTGAAGAAGGATCTCTTACCTCAGTTAGTGAGGTCCTATTCTTGTAGAGACAAGAACGTTTCTTGTAAAAACAGATAGCCAAGAAGTATCAACGATAACTCTGTACAGTGGAATAGAAGATCTGAGATTTTAATGAAAAGGATAGATTCAGGATAGTAGGAAGCTCTGAGTTGAGTTTGTAACATCAGAATATTAAAAGGCACAGCGAAGAGAAAGTTCTGGATTTCTAATGAGATTTCCAAAGTAGGCTATGTTTTTATCTCATTAGAATGGATTAGATTCAAGCCTATCAACACTAACTGTAGAAATAACTAGGTTTCAGATGCGTCAAGGTGCTAGGTGTCTTGTTCCAGGTGTCTTGAGTATAACAGGTCCTAGAGAAGAGATGTGGGTGGGCTCTGGGTCGTGTGTTTCTTAACTTTTAATCTGTAGCCCAGATGTTTGATTAGAGAACTTTCGAGTGAAGTTTGCTAGGTGGTGACAGTAAGATGGGAATCAGAGGAAAATGATTTTAATAAACTGGAGAAGTACTCAAAATGAAGTTCACTGAGGAGAATGTAGAATTATACCACCAGTTATGAATAGCTACACAAGTGTAAGAGATGGCTGTAAATAAACAAATGTACCAGAAAGAGCTGAGATTGAGGATGAGGCCAACATCCATCAGCAGTATGGGGCTGTGGTTGGAGCATCCCTGTCTAGGACTACAAATAAAGAGTTCAAGACACAGGGGTTGTCACTATATACCCCGTGAATATGTACAATTATTTGTCAATTAAAAATATAATTAAATAATACCTAACAAATACATGGTTTGTGAGGCCATATCTTTTCTAGATGTGCCAAAATCTTCAGGCTAACAGGGCTGTGGGTAGACTTGTAGACTGACTCACAGATAAAGGAAATTTGAAATTGAACTTGTAGAGAGTAATTTAGAATTCATAATTATCTTTCAGTGTGTAAAAAACCCTGATGTGAAGATTGGTGCCAGCTGTTAGTCTTTGCTGAGGATGGAATGTAGTTTCAGCAGCCTTTGATAAGACACTAGGAATACTTGCCTGACTGTGGAAGTCATTAAATGATAGAAGGAGTTATTGAGGGAAGGTTCTGATTTTTTATGGGATATTGCAAGTAGACTATGTTTTCATTTCATGAGGGTAGTTGAAGTCCATCTACCCTAGCTGATGACTGAGAAGTGGTATTGACTATTCAGAGTCCCGTTTCTAACCCAGAGATTGCCTGGGCCCTGCCTGCAGACATCCACCTGCTTTTACATCCCCCGAGGTGCTCCCTGCCCCCGGGAGCTGTTTGCCACACCTGTCTGGGGATGTTTTTTCCAGGCGTAGACTACCTGAGTCTGTGTAGATGCACTGATCTCATCAGATTGCACTTTCTTTTTGTTTTCTTCTCTCTTGCAGTATGAGTTTAAAGCCAAGAACATCAAGAAGAAGAAAGTGAGCATTATGGTTTCAGTGGATGGAGTGAAAGTCATTCTGAAGAAGAAGAAAAAGGTAGGTGGCTCTGAACCAGAATCTGAGGTGAAGAGGAAAGCAGGGGAGGTAGGCATGGGGTACCTTTTTCTTCCGGGCACCCCTCCAGAGAGAATCCCTCCCTTATCTGGCAAACTCTTCTGCTTTGAGCAGCAACGGTGCTGAGAGGCTGCTGCAGAGTGCAGGGTGAGGCGGGGCCAAAGGCCTAGTCACCGATTGGCTCAGTCAGTCTTGGTACTCCAGGTGATGGGAGTCACCTCCTGTCATCCATGCCTTCAAACCCCCTCCCCATTTTCATACCTTTATCTTTGAGTCCTGATGGTAGGAAATATTTTCAATTTTAGTGAGAATAGCAGGGTTCAGTGGGATTGGGCAGCAAGAGGAGGCTTCCTCAGCAGCTGTCCTCTTCGATTACAGGAGCAACCTTCAGTCCCACCCCAGGTGCCATGCAGCCCCCACTCCCCGCCGCCCACATGTGTCCTTGCATCCTGTTGCAGCCCATATTTACATCGTCCCTCAAGACCCAGCCACTGCTGCTACTCCGTGTGCAGGGATGGTAGGGTATGGCCAGGTCGGGAGGATGGGCAGGGGGATTCATCCATTCCTCTGAGTTGGGGAGAGACAAGCAAGTGAGCATATGCTGTTTAAACACTTCTCTGTTTTGTACCAGTTGTATGTGGTTGTGGCAGGGTAACATTAACCCCTTGGAAAGGCTAGATCCATTTGGTGGGAGGATGTGTGTTTCCAAAAAGAAACAGAAAAGAGCTTGGCTGATTGAGGATATATGAGGAGTCCTTTTTGTCCCTGTTTCTCAATTCTGCTGATGTTTTTATTTTTTATTTATGATGCCTTTGTTTTACATTTATTGATGGTAGCACCATGTCATACTCCTACATAGACCTCCTGAGCTTCTTTTGGTTCCAAATCTCAGTTGCTGTTAATTCAAATGGGACTTAAAGCAGACCTTGATTCTCAGGGGTAGAGGGAGAGTGTGGAGGTTATGGAAGCAAAGACAGATGCATCATAGTAGGCAACGTAAATTTGAAGAACCATATAGCTGAGAGGGATCTTAAAGGGGACTTATTATATCAATCCAAGGGTTTAAATCTTCTTTATAACGTCCTTACAAGGGGCATTGTCCAGTGTATGATCGGACACCTGTAGTAATGGGAAATTTACTACTTCCTGAGGCAGCCCCTTTCCTCTCTGGATGGTTATAAAGGTCTCTTATATCTTAATCCAAAACTTGTTCTTTCATGCTCCCTCAAAACTTTCATTGGTGGTTTTAGAAAGTGTTTTATGGCTATGATGCTACAAGTATGTAGAAAAAAGATACACTGTTTATAAAAGAACCAGCTTCTTCAAAATTCACAAGTATAGCGAATTAAATATATTTGCCTTTGTAACCTTTACTGTGTGCATGGGCCCTATCTTGTTCTTCCTCTGGGGACATCTGTTTTGCCTCTTCTCCTCTCACATGTATGTATGGAGTGGACAGTCATGGGACCGTCTTTAGAGTATTGTCCTCTAGGAGTTCCTCAGCAGGACAGTTGCTGAAGCCCTGTTAAAGAAATTGTGGATGACAACAATACAAATTTGAGCAAGAGATATCCTCAGAGGAAAAAAATGGGCTAATTTTGTCACATGTGTAAGATGACTTTCCTCAGCCCTTCCTGTGAGGGGACTGGTGGCTCAGGGCCCTCATGTAACAGCCTATAAAATGATTGCTGTTTGTGGGCGTTTCCCAGGCTGCATGATGCTTTCACACCCATTGTCACCCAGCCCTTCAGCAGTCTCTGTGGACGTTTCTGTTGGTCAGCATCATGGCTCCCAGTGACTGGGAGAAGCAGCCACACAGATGGTTTTCTCACTGAACAGCCCGCCAGAGGCTGAGCTGTCAGCCTTTCAGGTCAGAAGTTCAGATTCATCCATTTCGAACCTGTGAGCCTTAGGAGGCTAACTCACACTGACAAAGCTCAAAAGAGGCTGATGTATGAACTAAACTAAGAGTTTCTTAATTCACTCTGACACATGCAACAGTCTTCTGGACCAAATACTCACACTATCCTGACAAGCATGTTTTCTTTCCACTAGAGGCAGGTGATGGGAGAAGGCAAATTATTATAGGGTTGCTGGGTGAGCATAGAAATGGAGCAATCAGCCTGCTGGCCTCAGGCTCCACAATAAATGGGGCCAGTGAATCTTCCTAGTGGCCCCATTGGGCAGATGCTTTTCCTGGAGTCTGTCCGACAGACCCTGCCAGGGTTTGCTTCTGTGTCTCTCTGACTTCTATACTTCCACGGCTGACACTCCCAGAATCTTCCCACCACCTCACTACATATCCATTTCTGACTGACATATCTTTGTTTGCTTGCCTGCCTGCCTGCCTGCCCGCCCTCCCTCCCTTCCTTCCTTCCTTCCTTCCTTCCTTCCTTCCTTGGTGGAGTTTCGCTCTTTTGCCCAGGCTGGAGTGAAATGGTGCAATCTCGGCTCACTGCAACCTCTAGCCCCTGGGTTCAAGTGATTCTCCTGCCTCAGCCTCCCAAGTAGCTGTGATTACTGGCACCTGCCACCACACCCAGCTAATTTTTGTATTTTTAGTAGACAGGATTTCGCCATGGTGGCCAGGTGGTCTCAAACCCCTGACCTCAGCTGATCCACCCACCTCAGCCTCCCAAAGTGCTAGGATTACAGGTGTGAGCCACTGAGCCCAGCCTGTTTTCTTTTGATTAGGTTAAATGTAAACACCTGCTGTCCTAGGGGCTGCTCTGTCCCTTTCAGATATCTTCATACACCTCTGTTGTCCATCATGGGGAAACTTCATAGTTTTGTCCTTAGGGCACAGTCTTGTTTCCTACCTCACTGTCTCTCCCATGTACCTTTACCATATGTGGTGGCTTCCCCACTGTGCATGTGAGAAAACTGAGGTTGGATCACATGAGGCAGTGGTGCACTGAGGTATCACCTGTAGATAAGCTGCCCCGCCTCCACTAAGCACATGAAAACCAGGCTGGAGTAGCGTCTCCCTGAGGGAGTGCATGGGACCTCATGACTCACTTTGAAACTATATCCTGGATAATCTCCAGTGTGGTTTCACCCTCCTGCTGGCCCAGAAAAGAGACGGTCTAGCAGGTCTTTCCTAGATCTAACTCTTCTGATGCCAGGCTTGGGAAAATGGAGCCGCCCATCTTGTTTCCTGCACCCACACTTAGTGTCCATTTCAGGGCCATGGCTGTGATTTGAATAACGCCTTTAATCACAGGGTTCATTTCACACCATCTCAGACAGATGAATGCACATGAACAGCAATCAGCCTTTTTGTCATCTTGTTCTCTTGTGACAGTTCTCTGGTATCTTAATGCTACCACTACACTCAGATACATGCACACTTTCTCTCTCTCACTCTCTCTCTCTCTCTCTCTCTCTGCTTATAGAATTGAGAGAGGTGAGAGTAGACATGCTATTGTGTAAATGCACAATTTTCTCCAAGGAAATGGAATACTTGGCAAATTTCACTGATCACCATCATGATTAGGTTAAGAACTAGAGCTCTTTGCCAAGTAGCTGTAGGTGTAGAGACAGCCGTAGCCTGTGTTCAGCCGTGAGGCAATGGTACCATGTACGGCCTGACATTGCCCACTGATTCGTTGGTGCTCATGCCAGGCTAGTGGGTAAAAACGTTGAATAGTCCTCTCCTCCCACAATTAGCTTGTTGATTTTCACTGGGTCAGTGTGACAAGCTGGGAAGAACCTTCAGCCCATTTGAGAAGACCTGGGTTTCAGTCCTGGCTCTACCCTTCCTGGCCTGTGGTTCTAAGCATGTTATTTTGCCTCTCTCAGCTTCAACTGTGAAGAGTTCAATTAGGTGATCACTTTAGCTTTTCTAGCTCAAATACTCTGTGCCAGCTCTGGAACCATGCTTTTTGGTATTTGTGTGTATATATAGGTCACCTGAATGTATTTAGGTCTTTGAGAACCTACTGGACTACCAACACCAACAACAACAAACCACAAAAACAAAACAAAACAAAACAAAAACAGCCCCTGGAGTCTGAGTGGATCACTATGTTGTTGTTTCCCAATCTTCTAGGGCAGGAGGGGACCCTCTGAGGTCCAACATCTCTGAAGCAGCCATCCAGCCTCCTCTTTCTCCAGCCTTTCTGTAACTGGTGAATGGTGATGTGTTTGCTGGCTGAGAACTGTGTTTATAGTGAGTCCCTGCCCTCCAGTGAACTTTTTAAGGGCAGGAGCCATCTTTGTAAGCCCAGCACTTGCCTGGGCACCAGACATATGTATTATGTTTTCAGTAATTGTGGCTGTTCGCTAGCTGCATGATTGAATATTATTTGTGTATAGTAATGTCATTAAATTATGAAAAAATAAGTACTTAGCAATTGGATCAAATGAAGTCTAGTTTGTTACCTTTATCATATTGTCCTTCCTCTTTTTCTTCCTGTCAATCTGCCAGTTTAAAAGAAAGAAAGAAAAAAAAACAAGGATGAGATCCTTTCTCAAATATAGGAAGGCTTCCATAAAAATTGCTAATTCCATAGCATTAATTGTAGGATTTGTTCAGGTGACTGTAATCTTCAGGTGCATTATACTAGTGTAGGCAGTGGCCAGATATAATCAACTCTCATTGAGATGTAAAAAATATCTTTTTGTTTATAATAACAAATATCTAAAAATGCTGTCATCTTGAACTGATGCCAGTAGATCATGAATTTCAAATTCTTTATGAATCTTAGGTTGCATTTGTGATGTAAACTCAGTTACTAAGATAATTAGCTGTACTTTGATGTCTCTCAACCAGCACATTTTCTTCAACTCGCGTCTAGGCTCAAGTAATTATCTTTTCCATGTATATATAATGATTAGTTATTATAATACTGGAATCACACTATAGCACCATTTGCTAGGGAGTGGAATCCTGAATAAGAAAGACTAGTCTTGAACTTCATCCAAGGGATTTTTCTAATAAAGGACCCAAAGGGCTTCAGTTTTATATGGTTTCTCTTATG